AGAAATAATAGTCTATATTAATTCATGGAATAAATACAGGGTGTCCCCAAAAAAATGTATATACAGTTTAACAGCTGATAGCTCAATTTTGAAAATGAAATGTATTCTAATAAACACTGCCTTTATAATTATTCAGAGTGTGTATATACATTTTTGGGGCACACCCTATATACATGCATTAAGAGAGAATATGAACATAAGGCCAGTAGGAGAATATCTGCTTCTACTGTCCATTATGGTTCATTGTTAAACACTTTTGAATGCCATAAATTTGGTATCATAAGAGATACTTCACAATCAGCAGTATTGTACATGGAAAATTTGAAAAGTCAAAATGGTCTGCCCACATAGACTAGCTCAGGAATTTGCTTTTTTTTCTATATTGCTGTCATTTAGTTATCCTAATTATAAGAGGTACACATTGAACAAAAGGCCTTTATGAGCTTGTACGGTACAGCTAGCCCATGGAGCTTGAAGGAGATTGAAATCACATACTAGGAAGCACTACACAGATCCTGTACATAGTCCAGACCTGGAGACCTGGTGACAGAACTAGCCTCAAATTCTATACCAGCAATCAAGCAATGTAGTCAAAGAATTCTTTTTAGAAAACTGTTAATAGTCACTCTGAGATCCAAAAGCTGTGTTTAGCACTGTAATAGTCTCTTGTTTGTGATACGGATATTATTCCTGAACTTATCTCACTCAAAAGTCTATCTTTCAGAAACATTTAGCATCTCTGTGAAAAAAATTCTTTAGTGTTCATATATCCATCGTTCCAGCAATCTCTCATTCTATCCACCCATCCATCCATTCAGCAGACAGCTGTTGAATTCCTGTTGTGCTCCAGGTACTGTGCAGAGTCTAGACGTGCACAAAGCATTGTGGTCCTTGCTCTTAAAGAAATTTCAGTTCAGTACGACAAAACACCAAGGAAGCAATGGGTGTCATTTATGTTCTCATGCAGCTTGTAATGTTCCACTGATAAGATTGTTTTAAAATAAATTTTCGCTAAATGCATTTATATACTTATAGCTAGAAATGAAGAAAGGATGTGCTACTTGGGAGTATAATTAAGACAAATGGTTATTGAATCATTCAGCATTTAACATGTAGTTAATGAGTGCTTATTCTGCACTAGTCCGTCTTCTAGGTTCAAAACTGAAATAGATACAACAGTACCCCCGTATCTGTGATCTCACTTTTTGTAGTTTCAGTTAGCTGTGGCCAAATGCGTTCCAAAATAGTAAATGAAAAATTCCTGAAGTAAACAATTTATAAGTTTTAAATTGTGCACCATTCTGAGTAGCATGATGAAATCTCTTGCCACTCTACTCTGTCCCACCCAGGACATGAATCATCCCTTCGTCCACTGTGTCCACTCTTGTATATACTACCATCCCGTTATTCACTTAGTAGCCGTCTTGCTTATTAGATCAGCTGTCAAGATATCACTATGCTTGTGTTCAAAGAACTCTTATTTTACTTAATAATGGCCCCCAAATCATTCACATAACTTTGATTATAATATATTGTTATTATTGTTCTATTTTATTATTAGTTATTGTTATGACTCTCTTTCTGTGCCTAATTTATAAATTAAACTTTGACATAGGTATGTTTGTATAGGAATAAAACATAGTAGATACAGGGTTTGGTACTATTTGCGGTTTTAGGAACCCACAGGGAGCATGGGAACATATCACCCACAGATACGGGGGGACATCTGTGGCAAATAACCATCCACTTCGCTACCTTTCCATTCCTGGCTCTGTCTGTGCTTTGGCTGGAGGAAAATTGTGTGGTTGGAAAAGGGCTGTAGCAAATATGAATCATCAACAGGCCTCACCTGTCTGAGTTCTAAAGCGAGTTACCGTCTCCATGGAGCTCCTACCATGCTGCTTTGCCTGCTCCACGTTTTTGTTTTTTATATGGGATCACTGAGATTATCTAACTCAAGGAAAGTTTTTAATAGCTGTGCCTCAGAATAGTGTTAGAATTGGGAAATCTACACCTCTAGTCAGAATAAGAGAAACTGCAGAAGTGCTTGAACCCTGTTTTTGAGTTCACATCCACACATCACACCCTGAAGGAGGAGTGAGACCTTCTGTCTACCTGGTAAATGTCCCCTAGGAAAAAGGAAACTTCAACTTAAAAGGAAGAGGATATAATAATTCCAAAGCTTAGAATGACATTTTGTCTTTAATTTTTCCTGACTCATGAGTGAAATGGCAACAAGAACTTGATATTAGGTTGTATTAGCAGGAATTTAGCCATTTGTGGTCAAACAGCAGTGCAACTATAGGTCGTAGTCTGTCATAAATTTACAAACCACTGAGGCAAGGTACAGTTTATTCAGCATGTCTCGAGGTATGGAAGGAGGGTGGTATGGGACTCAACCCTACAATGAAAGAACAAGACGCAGCGAGGTGGGTATCATACCAGAATATCTGTATCCAGGTCGGGACGACAGTGTAAGGCAGGCACTGTGGCAGTTCAGGAAACTGCATTGCACAAATCCTGATGTCTCTTTCTACACTTCTGAAAGGTCTTATTTTATCACTCTACGTGGGAGCTCAATTACGAGTTGTTGAAACTAAGGAACTTAGAAATTTCTTAGCTCAAATCAAATGCCACTATTGAGGGAGGTCTGCTTTCAAGAAAAAATGAAACTGTATTCAGTTTGAATCTAAAAATTAAACTCAGCTCACTACAGCAAAGGCTGCCAAACTTGTTCTGGCAGATCACCAAGAAGAAAAAGTTTCAAAGACAGAGCCCCTTAACTATGTGCTACCAGCCTTGAGTCTTTCACCCTAAGAGAGACTTGTATCATCAACAGCATGAGACCCAGTTTCGGTGGAATATCATGTTAAAACAGCCTGCTATATTCCATTACAGAAGATACAATCACACTCCGGTGGCTTTATATCAAAAAGATCACCAGTAGTGCATTAAGATTCCAGCAAAACACAAAAGCTGACATAGATCCCTTTTTTAAATAAGACAATATACTGTGTATAGGTTATAATTGAAGTCCAAGAGACCCAACCCTTGGACTAAAAATTTAGTCATTCAAAGTTTGTTTGTAACAGAATCTGATACATAAGATGGTCCTTGGCTATTTGACTTCAGTTTAATTACTACTTGCGTACAAACACGGTATAAAGCCTGTCTCACCACTCCCCTTGCTCTCCACTGCCTCCTGAGGGTACTCTTTGACAGGAGAGTGTGCAGTCACATTCTCTGAGTCAGGGCAAGGCCACTGTTGAGCTTCAAGCTCTTCAGCCCCACCAGTCTTCATGTTTTCAAGGTGTTGTGTGGTGGTGGCACCTGTGCTTAGGGTGAATTAGAAAGGATCCTGGTCCAGTACTGTAACTGACCCAAAATAGCTGCTATGTGAGCACACCCTCCCAGCACTGTGGCCCCAGGGAGTCAGAGACCACACTTCTGCTTGCAGCTCCCCCATGATAGGGTCTCACCTCCACAGAGGGCACAGTGTGATACAGGACAAGGAGGAGGGGGCACGTCTCTTTCCTTCGAGGACACAACTGGCAAGGTGCCCCACCTTACTTCGAATTATATCCTTTTGTAAAAAGGGGATAGTGGATATGAGGATATTGTTCATCTCTGCCCTGATACCCTCATGTTCTTACATTAGTCTGAGTGTTCCAGCATGCCTTCATTTATAAGAGCTCCTTTGCCTGATCCAGACAAACACTTGTCTAAAAGTGTGGGACACACTTAGGAACTAGCACTAGGACTTCTTTATTAAAGTCACTGTGTAGTGGGTGTAGGACTCAGAATATTTTCTAAAAATTGCCATACCACTGTGATTAAGGGACCATCTATGTTTTGTTAATATTTGTTCCTGAATAATTTAGGTAGCATTTGCTTGTCTAGTTTATAGATTTGTGGTGAGAATTATACTTTATACTTTATTTTCTGGGGAGTTAAAAGAATTATTAGGTATTATTATCTCAGTTAAAAAAAACTAAGCTTCAATTTATTTTTTGAAAAGTTTGAATGTCAGATAAAGCATTCATTGGAAGACAAGTGGATTATTGTGCATCAGATTTGTTTCAGAAAAGTAAAAATTTTAAAGTCATATGTGTTTTAAGGATAGTGTTTGTAACTAGCTTTTGTTGTAATCGTGTTGCCTGGAATGCATGTGCTGTGGTAGCTTATGCATTTGCACTTGGATAGCCCTCTTCCTACTAACCAATCAGAATGTAGATATTTTCAGCTTTTAGGTATAGAGAAAGAACAGCATTCATAGGAAAATAATTTTCCAGTGAAGAGTATCCTTGCATGAAAACTCATGTGGCCTTTCTTTATAATAACTACATTATTATTCTCAAAAAGAATGAGTGCACTCCGTGCCAGACCTGAAATTTCCTCTGTGCTGCTGACGACCAGGCATTCCAGACAGACTGGAGTCGGTGTGCAAGTCAGCCGTGCTCCATTATCACCATTCCTGCCACCGCAACGAGGCTGTCCTCTACATTTCTGTCACTGAAATGAATGCCAGCAGTGACAAACATGCAAAACAACTAGGTGTCAGGTTTGGTTTCCTCAAGGCCTCTCTCCTTGGCTTGCAGACGGCCTCTGCCTTGCTGTGTCCTCATACGGCCTTTTCTCTTTGTGCACCCTTCCCTCGTATCTCTCCCCTTCTGACACCAGTCCTATTGGATTAGTGCCCACCCTAACACTTTCATTTTAACTTAATCAGCACTTTAAAGGCCCCTTTTCCAAACACAGTTACATTCTGAGGCACTGGGGTTAGGGCTTGAACGTAAGAATTTTGAGGAGCCACAGTCCAGCTCATAACTGTATAAAACGTGAAAAAAAATATTAATATTGTGAGTGACATGGCCCTCTAGGGTGAAATTTAAATGAAAACATTTGCAGATTTCCATATGTGTTTTCATTGTGTTCTTATGCATAATATCTGAAAATACAGAGACTTAATTGTTTCTGGTGCTGTGTTTCTGTTTTGGCAGGCCTGGCAGCTGCGATTCAGTCACCTTGTGGGCTATGGTGCCAAATATTACTCTTACCTGATGTCTAGGGCAGTAGCTTCCATGGTTTGGAAGGAATGTTTCCTACAGGATCCTTTTAACAGGTAATAAGGCGGGTAGGGCATAAAATGTTCCCCTCAACTTCAGTAATCCCCCACCCCACTAGATCTAAAGTCAGGCTCTGAGAACCTCGGCCACCCAGAACACAGCCCAAACCTGGTAGGAAACTGAAGCTCCCTGAGGCAGGCTCATCACTCAGCCCAAACCTCTCTCAGGCCCTTTCAGCAGGAGCCTCCCTCTTGCTTCCAGAGACAGAGCCTGGTCCTGAACTTCCACCTCATTGTGCAGCACCGTGTGGCTATGACCGGCTGGTGATGGCCTGATGCCCAGCCCTCGTGCCCACAGGTACCCTTTGTGTGAAGACTTTGTGCTTCTGCACAAAATGGGCCCAGACTGCTTTGTCTTCATCCTTTCCTGTAGGTTTTCTTAGTTTTCCGGCCTCTCCTGTTGTCAATACCCTGTTGCTGTCAGTACTTCCACTTACTTTGACAGGTGTCCTTATTTTCAGCACGAGCATCTGAAGTTTCTCTCATGAGGAACACCTCATTTCTTCTTTATTGCCTAACAAAGAACTTGTTACTTTCTTCATTTGGGAGTAGCACCACTAGAAACTTTGGTTATTGACCTTAGCATCCAGTTTGTTCTAGAAAGTTCACCCTCTTCCTGACTTTGGGGCATTTTTCCTTCCCCTTGAAAGACAGTGGCAGTCCAAAAAATGGGGAACTGCTCCATCTGAGGCCACTTAGACAGTGTGGGTACCTGCCCAGCATGGCTTTCCACGGCCCTGCCTCATAGATATCCTCATGGGATAGTCAATGGTTCAGAAGACACAGCCTGCAGCTCTCTGTCTAGAAGGCTATAGGGACATGTCTGTGTGGAGACTCCCGGCCTCTCCCAGAGCATAGTTCCTCAGATTGGCCAGTGGGTGTGGCAAGCTTTAATGAGTCCACAAGGAAATTTCAGCTAGGGACAAGGATGCCCACCCCTTCCCCACAACAGAGGCAGGAGAGAGGGGCTGTGGGGGGAGGGAGAGCAGGGCCTGGGAGCATGTCACAAGGCTCCTGTTGGGTGGAGAGGCACAGGAGAGCTCCCATTTCTCCCTGATTGGACCTCCTTCTGACACCAGGAAGTCGAGTTCTGGTTCCATGAGTCCTTAGAAGGAGCTGCCTTTGAAAGCAGACCACTAATTATGATCAGGTCTGATAGTCATTGAAAGCATTTTTGTTCAAGGCTTCATAGTTAACAAGGTGGAGTAAGATTATAACCTAGGTCTTCTAATTCCTAGTCCCTTCTCTTTCCCCACTTCCTGCACACACCCTCAGCTTTTCATACAGTTTGACATAGGTTTGGATTTTCTCAGCAGTTAATAATCACATTCTGTTCCAAATCTTTTGAACTTGAATCTGATGTAATAGAATTTTTAAATTTTTACAGCTTGGTACCCACATGTTATTTTGTCTTCAGTCCTTTACACCTGCAGACATTTGGTCTGCTTTTCAGATTTTATTATTTTCAAAGGATCTAAAGCCAAAATTGACTACAATAAATAAATTTGGGGAATTACATTTTTTTACTGGAGATTTCTATAAAATAGACAAAATATTATCTTGTTTAAAGGAACTACACTTTACTAGAAAACCACATATTATTAAATACATATATTTCCAAGTATTTATATCTTGTTTATATATGCATTCTTGCCTGGACATGTAGTTGCCATGGTTTTATAGACATGTAAAAGTAAGCTAGTAAAAATACTTATTGGACTAGAAAATTTCTAACCTCTGTCGAAAGATTTTTTTGATCCCACTTTTGAAAAATTAGCAGGCTGGAAGCTGACATCAGGAAGCCAGGCAGGACAGAGCCAAGGCAGGCAGAGAACTGGAGGCCTACGGCAGGACTCTGACTTAGGCCATGTACAGTGGTTGGGAGGGGATGCCAAGCCCCCGAGGCTGGAATCAGGCTCCTCTCAGCTGTTCCATGAGAAAGCCCAGCCCATATGTCCATATTTCCTGCTTCCTGGCACACTTTGCCTTAGCTCTCACTGCAGAGTGTGCCCCAAATTGGTGTTTGATATGAACATGTTTTTGATATGGTAATGCATGTTCACAAAATTGCCTATACATAAAGATGCTACAGACATAGTAAAATGAAACCATCAAAATTTATTTAATTTATGTTATCATAGTCTGTGGTCATTTCCATTAAAAGAATATAATTTTTCATAAAATAACACGAGTAGCATTAAATCGCTTGTCTCCAGGTGCCATTAATTTGGAGAATTTCTGTCTATAAAAATTTTTTTTGCCCATCCAGGCGTGGCTCAGCGGTTCAGCATTAACCCAGGATCCAGGCGATCGGGGTTCGATTCCTGGTCAGGGCACATGCCCGGGTTGCGGGCTCGATCCCCAGTCGGGGTGTGCAGGAGGCAGCCGATCAATGACTCTCTCATCATTGATGTTTCTGTCTCTCTCTCTCTCCCTCTCCTTTTCTCTCTCTGAAATCAATAAAAATATTTTTAAAAAAGAAAATTCTTCTTACCTTCTAGTGTTACAAACAGTATTCCTTATAGAATCCAGCTGACCAAGAGTATCTGCAGATGAAAACGAGCTGTTGGCTCCTTTGTCTTTGCCACCACACACTCGAGTCAGTTTTCTGTTCCCTTGGCTATTATCCTTAGCCAAGGTCTCCCGGGGTAATTAATTCTCTGTTGCCAGCATTTTTCCCCCTTCACTTTTATTTCAGAATGTTATTTTTCTCTTTGTTACGTGCCATCTCAAGTTCTTTTATGAAAGTGAAAAATGGCATAAATAATTTCAAATCGCACTACTAATCCTAAAAATGATGGAGAAGAAGATATAATCTTACTTAATCTGTAATACAGAAACAAAATAATCCTTTCTATGAAGAGATTGCTTGCTATGAAGCAGCTAAAAATATACTTAGCCTTTTACAGTAAATAAATGGTTTTGCTCATTAGAATAATTTAAAAATTGGAATTCAATTTTTAGAAGCAAGAAAATAGCTGAGTTGTCTCATGGTGGCAGGTTTTCTGAATATGATATCAGTGTGGCTTCTGAGAAACTCAAAACAAGTGTGAATGGGGTGGAATTGGCTGTGTGTTCAGGTGCCTGTAACAGTCTCTCCTCTCCCCAGGGCGATGGGGGAGCGGTACCGAACGGAGATGCTGGCCCACGGTGGGAGCAGGGAGCCCATGCTCATGGTGCAAGGTAAACCAAAACGAGGATTGGAACCTTTTTTTTTTAAGTTTTATGGGTTATTTGTTTTAGTATTAGCACTTTGAGTTATGTTTTTGACCATCTATAATAAAAGCTGTTTCATATTTTCTCAGTATATATTTTTTAAGGAAATGATGCTCCAGCTATGTACTTTTTCAGAGAATCTATTTTATTGTATCCCAAATAACAAATTAGTTTTATTGTATTTCTATTCTAATGTTCATTTCTATTTCATTGTATCCCAAATAACAAATTAATTTTTAGTTACTGTGTTTTATTTAGGTGCCAGGACAAAATTTCAGGCTTTAGCTTTCAAAATGTTACTAACACTCTAATCGTAAATTTGTCATCAATTCTCAGAAAATTTGCCTTTAGATTTTAATACATCACAATGTATTTCTTTAGCCAACAGAACTCATTTATTTCTTATTCCTTTATTTCTTTCTCTGAAAGTTTAAAAAATTAGAACTTAATTAACCATTCTCTGAGGCATCACCGTGCTTATTTTCCTATGTAACTCTTTTGGTAATTTTTACATTTAAGTATTTTTACTCAAAATTATTGTAAATGGAAGTGACTATCATGATTTTTTATATAATGTTCTCACAAATATTTCAAGGAAGATGTGAATATTATTGGATACTTTCAATATATTGACAGTTATATTTACAGTTGATCCCTCTGACTATCTGATAAAAATAGCATTTAGGAAATAACTTCCAGTATTAGGGAAATACTATTTTCAGTGTAATACCTGAGTGGGTAATAATAGTAATGGGTCTGACACGAATATTTTCTTGCCTAGATCTGTTTAGTCAAATGCCTGTTGCTTTTGCAGAGCTCCAGATCCTTTCCTTCAGCTATTCATTTAGAAAAGCAGGTATTTGTTGAGAGTTGATTATGTATCAGGTACTATCATAAGTGCTGAAGATGAAGTAGTGAAAGGCAACCCAGACAAAAACCCAGCTCTTAGGGAACTCTTGAGAATTCTATCAGTTTACCCAGGAAAGTGTATTCATGCAGGCTTGATCTGCCCGATGCCACAACAAATTTATAAAAGAGATCCCACAGTTTTATGTAGCACAGCACAGCTCTCCTCTGCCACTAACATTTTGGTTAGTGGCCTGCGAGTTGACCTCTCAAGATAAAGTAGGCATGCTGATGCCTCCTCAGTTTTCTGGTTGACCTTTATTGAACTTGGCTATAACCAGGAACTTTTAAAAATGTTTTTCATGTATCGATTAATCTTCTAGCAACCCTATGAGGTAGGAATTATTATCCCCATTTTACAGCTGATGTAACAGGCCTGCTCCTGGTCTAAGTCATGAGGCAGTGAGTAGAAGACCCAGGATTTGAACCTATGACTTCTGACAGCAGAGACCAGGCTCTTTATCAGTCTTTTTGTGGAACAGAACACCTACCTTAAGGCTCTGTTGTGGACTCGTGTGAAAGTGAAATTAATTGGCTCATAACAGTAAGCAACAGGTAGTTTAAATTGTGTGCTTTTTAGCTGATAGTTTTGGTGCTATGTAGACATCCCACTGAGAGTTGCGATTAGAAGAAATGCTTCAGGATTGCTTTCTCATGGATTTTTTGTTAGTTATATTCTCCCAGTAGCAGTGCTTAGCTAGACCAGTATCTAAATGCTCTCTGCATATAAATATTAGCTTACATGTGGTTCCATCAAAATAAAAAAAAAAGGAATCCTTTTCAGTGTTTGTCTTTTGGCTGGTGTATTTTTTCTACTCTTCTTCCAAGAATGTTGTTAAAAAATGTCTCTACAAATTTTGTTCTTTATATGAAACATTTTTGTGTTAAGAAATTTAATATTTTCAAAACTAAAATTCACACACTCAAGAGAAAAATAAGACCATGATTCAAACCAGAAATGATAAAGCATTCAGATTTCAATACAACGATAGAATGGTTCTGCTTTTAAACTTTAATATTTTCCTTAATGTTGTTCTGTCATATCTTATTAATTCACAGGATTTGTTATATGTCAAAGATGAATGGGGGAGCGTGCAAAGAGATTATGCCTATTGTCACTTTATGGGGTTGGATTTGTAAGGCAAGACCAGCAGTGGCTTCTTGTTTTCTTGTATGCAGCCAGCCTGTCCCCCAAACAGGAATGTCATAGATGATGTCTCATAGCCTTAACTCCAGGGTATCCCTAGGAGGAGTGATTGGTGAAATTACTGAGAATTGTGATATAAAAACATAAGCCATTGAGTTGATATTATTCTTTTATTTTATAGGTGCTGTATATATTTTATTTAACTACTTACTAGATAAATGTAAAGAATTATATTAAGTAGAAAAAAGTAAAGAAATAGAATACAGTGGCCTTGAGCACTTGCAGATTTCACCTCCACAGGTACCAAGGACTGACTAAGGCACTTGAGCATCCTCATCTTGGTGTCTGTGGCGGTTCTTGGAACCAATTCCCGTGGATACCAATGGATGACTGTACCTGCCACCAAATATTGTACCCTCTGACCAAATGACAAATTTACTAACCTCCTTACTTAAGACTTAGGTTTCAAATTCACTTCAAGCCATTTTGAGAATCAGAATACTTATGCAGTGAACTTATGCTTAAATGATACATATTCAACAAAATCAAATATATAATAGTTTTGATCTTTGAATAATAAATACTACACAAGTGGACTTTCTGGCTACTTGGTTTTTTTAGAATCCCCTTGGTCTTTCCTATTGCCCACAGATGAACCTGCTTGTGGCCAGAACCCAATCTAAGGAATTCCCAGAGAACACAGCATCCCTCTACTTCTTTTCTTGCTGTTGTTTGTCCACATTCACCAGTTAAAGGCTTCCACCAGGCAGTTGCAGCAACAGAAGCTCTTCTTAAAGAGCCTATATTTGTTTCCTCTCAAAACTCTAAACACCATTTGAAGACAACAAAATAGTGGTTAGAATAGCATTTCCTTCCTCAGAGAAGAAAAGCGGCCATGTGGTGCAACAGCATTGGATTTGCAGTTACTAGCTCTGCCACTTACTATCTGGAAGTTACTTGAGAAATTCACTTAATCTCCATATGGGAGGTAAAATATGATTTGACTCCTAAACACTTATTTCTTATCTGCTTCTCCATAGCTCCTTTTTCAGTCCATCTCTGACTGTGTGTGTGTGTTATAATTGATATAATAGAGGAAATAGAAAGAACATTATAGATTTAAATTATGTCCTTACCTAGTTTTTTTTCTCATGTCTAATTTTAATTCCAGAATGTAAAGCTTTTTTAAATTAAAGTATATTTGACATACAACATTATATTTCAGGTGTATAACACAGTTAGATTTCACATTTATACACCTTACAGTGATCACCACAAAAAGTCCACTATCCTTCACCATACAAAGTTATTGTGATATTGACTGTATTCCCTATGCTGTACTTTACATCCTAGTGACTTATTTATGTTATAACTATAAGTTTGTACCTCTTATTCCCCTTCATCTTTTTGCCCTTACCCCACCACACAATCCTCTGGCAACTATCAGTTATTTTGTATCTATGAATCTGTTTTATTTGTTCATTTGTTTAGTGTTTTAGATTCCACACATACATGAAATGATACCAGTATCTGTCTTTCTCTGACTTACTTCACTTAGCATAGTTCCCTTTAGGTCTTTTTATGTTGTCTCAAATGGCAAGATTTCATTCCTTTTTATGGCTGAGTAATATTCCAGTGTGTGTGTGTGTGTGTGTGTGTGTGTGTGTATAATATACATAGATCTCTATCTATAGCCACTTCTTCTTGATCTGTTCATCTATGGATGGATACCTGGATTGCTTCCATATCTTGGATGTTGTAAATAATGCTTCAGTGAACATAGGGGTGCATATATCTTTTTGAATTAGTGTTTTGTTTTCTTCAGATAAGCACCCAGAAGTAGAATTGCTGGGTCCTTCTTTGTCTCTTATTATAGCCTTTGTTTTAAAGTCTGTTTTGTCTGATAGAAGTATTACTAACCACAACTCGTTTTGTTTTGTTTCCATTGTCATAAAATATCTTTTCCATCCCTTTACTTTCAATCTGTGTGTATGTCTTTCAATCTGGAGTCTCATGTTGGCAGCATATGTAAGGGTCTTATTTTCTTATCCATTCAGTCACCCTATGTTTTTTTCAACGGAGCACTCATTCAATTTACATTTAAAGTAATTATTGATAGGTATGTACTTACTGCCATTTTGTTTCCATACTAGACTTATAAGTGGTTGGTATATCTTTACTATATATTTGCCTTTACTAGTGAGATTTTTTTCTTTCATATATTTTCTTATTTCTAGTTTTGACCTTTTCTTTTCCACTTAAAGAATTCCCTTTAACATTTATGGTAATGCCATTTAAGTGGTGACAAACTCCTTTAGCTTTTGCTTGTCTGGGAAAATCTTGATTTCTCCTTCAGTTCTGAATGATAACTTTGCTGGGTAGAGTATTCTTGGTATTCATCATGTTGAATATATTATGCCACTCCTTTCTGGCCTGCAAAGTTTCTGTTGAAAAGTCATTTGATAGTTCTGTGAGCATTCCCTTGTATGCAACTAGTTGTTTTTCTGTTGCTGCTCTTTAAATTCTACCTTTATCTTTAACTTTTAACAATTTAATTATAATGTGTCTTGGTGTGGGTCTTTTCCAGTTTATTGTCTTTGGAACTCTCTGTGATTCCTGGATTTGTATCCCTGTTTTCTTCTCCAGTTTGGGAAGTTTTCAACCATTATTTCTCCACATAGATTTCTACCCTTTTCTCTTCTTCTTCTGAAACTACTATGGTTCTAATATTAGTACACTTGATGTTGTCCCAAAGTTCCCTTATGCTATCCTCATTCTTTTTAATTTTTTTTCTTTTTTATCTTCCAGCAGGTGAGTTCCACTATCCTGTCTTCTAGATTGCTGATCCATTCTTTTACGTCATCTGATCTGCTGTTGATTACCTCCAGTGTATTTTTTATTTCACTTGATATAT